TGTTTACCTACTATATTAATTCTTACAGATCTATGAACATTAGTAATATATTCTTATCAACACCTCCTAATAGAACAAATGATATACTTAATAATGAAACATGCTCAGATGACTCTGAATCTTTTTCCACAGAACTACTTTTATTTTTACAAAATCCTTGTGATGAGGCTTCAAACTCAGCTACTCTATCTCCAGTTCCTACAAACCATACTTCTATGAACTATATCACTAATCAACAATCTAGCCATGTTAGAGATCTTCACCTTAATATTGCAACACATAATGTTTGTAGTTTTAACACAATCACTAAAAGAGAAACCTGGCAAAATTACTATTTTGATCACAACATCAGTATTGCTTGTATTACTGAAACAAAAATTTCAGAAAAACCTAACTTATCCTTTAATAATAATAATCTCTTTACATACTTTTAGACTAATTCAAATAGCTCAGCAGAATGTGCTGCTATTATGATGCGCAATTTTCTTCAACTGCATATTCACAATTGTCTTACCCACCCTAGTGGTGCTATTGCTATCAATTTATTCTTTAAAAGCAATATTAAGCTTCGTATTATCTTAGTCTACCTTTCTTCCACAGATATGTCAAAAAGGACTTCTATCAAACTACTGTTATTAATTGGATTCAGTTTGCTTTACAATACAATATTCATCCTATTATACTTGGTGATTTCAATACACATGATCTCAGCTTCAGTTCGTCAGCAAAATATAGACTTATAAATTTTCTACACTATTTTAACATGTATAATGTTGGTGCATATTTCAATAATACATACTATACATGGTCTAACAACACTTATTCTAGCAGAATTGACTATATTTGGACTGATTAGTTTAATATCTAGTTTCTCTCGTCATATAAACTAGATACTAGTAATACTAGTACTCGTAGCAATCATCTTATACTTAATACATTATAGACTTTTTCTAATACTTATAGCAAGCCTCCTCATTTGCGTACAGATATTAGCTGTCATATATTTAATTACAAAGTTATGACCTCAGAAAATTGGTCTGAGTTTTCAGATCTTCTTATAACAAAACTTAATCAACATCAAATACCACTATTACTACAAACCTCTGAAAGTATTAATACTATATAGCATAAGATTGAACATTCTATTATAAATGCTGCTATATCAATTATTCTAAACAAAATTAGCCGTAGACGTAGCTATAATCACAAATACACACCACATAGTACACAACTATATCTGTCTCTAAAAAAACTTAGACATCTAATCAAAAATCTTAAAAATACTAATACAACTTTAGATATCTCTTTGGTTAACTCACAAATTTAGGATATTAACTCACAATCTCAATGCAATCTCCAAACTTTTCTAAGTTCAGACTCTGCTCAAGTTCTAGAATAGATAAATTATGTTCAGGATATATAGTACCAACTGTACCAAGCATGCTATACTGAAAACTCTTTTCTTCTCTGTCAACAAATCTAACAAGCTTCTGAGAAGAGATGTGAGACTCTTGTTAGCAAGTCTATACATGCTATCAACAGCATCCTCAATTACTATCAAGCTTCTATACATTTCTTAAATATTAAATTACAAGATCAATTAATTACTGAACCAACTCTTATTAAACAGCATATTCAACAGCATTTTCATGACTGAACTGCTCATAAACCTATCAATCAAGCACTTTTTGATAGCTCTTGGCAACAAGAATATCTGCCACAAACCCATATTAATCCTGACTAGTATAACACTCATAATATCAACTAATTTGTAGGTCAATATAAACATATTTGATGTCAAAACGAATCTATATGGATCAGAAGTTGCAGTGCAAATGATTAATGATAAGTTGACTGATTTTTAATCTAAAAAATCTTTCTTGAAAAGAAGTAATAAGGAAACGAATTCTGTAGGTGATTTATTCTATATTAAATTTTATATTGACTTAAGCTAATATCGAATTTTATAAATATCATATTTTCAATAGGTTGATAAAATAAAATGACAGTGTATCCAAAAAGATGCCTCATTTAAACTTTTAACGAAAGAAAGTCTAAATAATAAAGCGAATTTGATTGTAGGAAACTTTAATGTTAGAGAGTCTCTCATTAATTGGAAATTGAGAAATAATCCACCTTGTGATGAGTAAGTTTTTTAAAATAATTTCTAATTCATACCAAAATTTATATACTAAGTTTTTGTGCAGCCTTGCATATTACGATATATTAGACCTCACTCCAGGCAGCAATAGTGATTTCGTCAAAAATTACATGCCAATGGAAGTATACAAAAAGCTTATGTGTGAACAAAAACCTCAACAGAAAGAATATAATGAAATAAAGCATCATATTAATAATATGATAAAGGTATTAAAGTGGTTTAAAGTATAACCAAAAAAAATCTTATTAACAAATTTTCATAGGTTTCTGATCTCAAAAAATCAGTCATTGATCATTATTTACCAACTTGTGGTGATGAAGAGAAGGAATTTTTATGGAGTTACCTAAATTTGTTGTAAATATCTGGTTTTCTTTTACTATACATGGAAGGTTAAGTCATTTTAATTTTATGAAATCAGCTTCATTCCTTTTATAGAGTTCAATCATTCGAAAGAGATAATCACTTATTGAATGAAGCTTTATCTGAAAGAATGTATCAGGAAAAGTTTTTAACGCCATTGATTACCAATCTATTTCAAAAAAAGTTTAACGACATGGAAATTTACTTGTACGTAAAATTCTTTATGGGTTGATTATTCAATTTTAAATATGTTGTATTAATAGAGATGAAAAAATTTACTTTAGTGGAGAAAAGAATTTGTTTGCCTCTGCAGAAAACTTTGACCTAAAAAAGGATGATAAAAAAAATTGTAGCAATGGTCGCAAAATAGATATTGTCTGGGCCACTAAGCCCTTAAAAATAGAATTTGCTATTGCAGAGATAAGC